AGCTCTCCCCCACAAGCTTTATTTTACTGCCAGCTCTTCTCTTGCACTTCCTGCTCAACATCTTCACGGTAGTGCCTCACAATACTACTTCTGCTTCTCAGGACGGGATCTTTGTTTTAGCTCTAGTTCTTGAGCTCAGATCACAGTCCTTACAGCAATTTCAATTCCAACCATGCAGGTCACCTCCCCGCTCCACAATCCCTATCCCAGCCCCACAGGTGTTTTACCCCAAACCCTACCATATTTCTGTCTCCTCCAGCTCTGCTGCCTCAGCTCCAGTTCCTCAGCTTCCTACTGGCTGCAGCTAAAAGCCGCTCATGCTTCTCACTGCACCTTGGGGCTGTTGATAAGGCCACAAATCAGTTACTGCCATCATTTCAATTTCAATATCTCTAGAAGCTGTCCCATCCACCCACCCACCCCAGTGGCATCCCAACTCTGGGGACACTGGAGGCCTGAAGCTCAACATCCACCTTCCCCCTCACCGTGGCTCTCAGGCCAGCACCTGCACAAAGGCCCCCTCACCTCCCCTCAGGCAGCTCCAGGGGCTGGGAATAGCCACTGAACTCCTGCTCCCCGATCCCAAAACGCACCCTTGGGCTGGTTCTTGGGCCCTAGAACCCTCTGAGCCCCCACACCCTCAGCTCCTCGTTGGTACCACAGGGCAGGGGCTGGGAACCCCAGGCATAACCTGCAGGCCTGGTGCTGCAGCTCCATGCCTTCCTTCCATGGCATTTATCTAGCCCCATCATTTCCACTACTTCACATTGTTTTGGGCCTGACTCATGCCAAAGTCATTATTCCACACCCTGGGGTTTTATGTCCCCACTGCTCTCACAACTGGTGTTCCAGCTCCAGTCACACAACCCTTACCGAATTTACATGAGATATCCAGTAAAGAAAACAAATCAAACCAAAAAGATGTAATAAAATGAGCAATAATAAAATAACACAATAAAGAAAAAAACACCACTACAAGTAAAAACAAAATAAAGTAATAAAAATGCAAAAAGCAAGCTTTATTCCTCGTATTCTGAACATTTCTTTAAAT